TCTTCTCGATCTTCTTGTTTCTTTTGCTGTTCTTGTATTGCTGCCATCAAATCTGCTAAGCTGCAGTTTGATTTGCCACTTCTGGTTTCCATCTTCTTCTTTTTGTCTTTTTTTATCCCACTTCTGACACCAATTTGTTACATATCTGCTTGTTTGATAATTTCCCGTAAAAATTCTCTCCAAGAAACTTCAGCGATGTTTCAAGTCCTTTTTTTAATTAAAACTAGTTTATTCTTTCTCGATGCAACTTTGCAATACAAAGATTTTCCACAGTCCCTTTAAAGTTAACTACTTTTATAAACACATGCATGCTATAATTCACAACAATTCACGCACTTTACTTACGGTCACTACCGCTCGCTTGACTCAATTATCTGTCTCTATATCTGTCTATCTGCAATTATATCTCCGCTTTATTTGCTGGACTTATATATTAAAATAGAGGGCGCCTAGAAAAACCAGAGTTGCCAAGAATAGTCATGATCTCTCTAGAAACTCCAGTGCCCATTCTTTCAGAGCCACGTGACTTCCGGTGTCGTAACAATATGTATATAAGTCTAAGAATTCAATGTATGGCGCAACTGGTTGGGGGAAAAAGATCATATTCAGGTTCCTGTTGTTGATTTAAAAAAATTAAACCATAATCAAAGTATCCTATATACATATCTTGTAATACATCGTGTTATATCAAACTTTTGTTAGTACAAATGTGGATACTTTCTCAATGGCAGTATCTTATCTGACTAAGTATAGTAAGTGGTTTGATTCGGAAAGATGTATCTAGAAAACTCAACTGTGTTTGAATATTATAAAGATTGCATGCACAAACTTAATGTTTCATCAGCATTTGTATAAAAATTCTGTATTCTAAAACTTTAGTACCAAAATTAAGGTGATAATGTTCAGTTTCGCTACTGTAAATTAAACGATTGAATAAAAACAACTATATAACAATCCTAAAAACGTACCTGACAATATCGCGCTTGAAAATAAATGGACGTCTCCAGAGGAAGAGTCATCGGGCGCGATGGTGATGAAAAATAGTATTATATTATTATAATACGTAGTATTATAACTGTATACTCAAAGCTTCTTTCTTTGCTAATATGTTTCTTTAATCTGACGTAAACTCTGCTTGAATTGGACTGTTACTGACCCACAGCTCGGGTTTTCTAAATTAAGTACAATGCACAAACAGTATTTGCAAACATTTTATACATCTTTGATTTATTATTTGCATGGCTTTTGTAAAAATTCAGAAAAATGATAGTTTAGCTATTTACATCTCCATTAGGAGATCAAATCCCATCCACTATCAGTTTTCTCCTTTCATTTATTTATTTAGAAAAAAAAATCGAATTTTAAAAGAGTGTGGCAGTTTAAAAAAAGGAGTGGCTCACTAAATTTGCGTATATTTTCTGTTTTTGATTTTCTAAACGACCATCTAAAAGAATCTTGACGATACTCAGGAAAATAATGCTATAAATGGGGGAATGAGCGTTTTCCGCACCTTCCGCAATTTTGAACTGTAGGACATAAACTGTTGTACGTTGTAAAGGCACTCATGTTACGCGCGGCATACAACGTCACTTTCTTCTGGCGTCGGCTTCACGTTTTACGTAGTGACCTACTCGCTCAATTTAGTCCTCATTTGTGGCATTAAAGCGGTAAAATTGAAATAGATGCTAAACTCGTCCGATTGTTTATCCATTTAAACTCGATCACTGGGGCTCAACTTGAGTTTAAAGAAATTTGATTTAACCACCTCCTCATAACATCTTCTGACACCAGACATATGGACAACTCTGTTTTATACATATAGATTGGTGAAGGAGATTTCAGTTTTGTGTGCTGTTATTAAGAAATAGTATATACTTACTGATATATATATATATTTAGAGTAGGAGATAAAAACTTGTATGTGATAAAGAGCTCATGTTTTACACATATGTATTGCCATGGAAACGATTTCTGAATCATCAGCTGAGTGTAGCTATCCATAAACACAAATCAAAGAGCAGGATTTCTTCACCAGAACATTGTGTTTGATAAGAAATTCAAAAGTTTTAACCACAAGCACTCTTGTAAGTTTCATTTGCTGTTGTCTTTTACCGCAAACACCATTTTAGATTGAATATATTGTTGAATTTAACCGTAAGCCCCCTTCTTGTTTTCATTTGTTATTGCATTTAAACACAAGTACCCTTTCAGATTTAATTTATTGTCGGATTTAACTGCAAGCACCCTTGTTGTTTCGTTTGTTGTTGGCTTTAACCGTAAGCACCATTGTAGGTTTAATTTATTGTTGGCTTTAACCGTCAGCACCTTGTTGTCTTCATTTATTGTTGCACTCAGAAGTATAGTTCAACTTCGTCAACGTTTTTTGTCACACAACTAGCCATATTCCAGTTAAATAAAAATACTGATCCCAACTGTATTATATTGTTTGTTTCTTTAGAATTTCGCGCAAACCTACACTACGGTTATCTGCTAGCCGTCCCTACTTTAGCAGTGATAGACCAGTGGGAAGGTAGCTAGTCAACACCACCTACCGCCAACTCTTGGGCTACTTTTTTTACCAACGAATAGTGGGATTGACCGTATCGTTATAACGCCCCCACAGTTGAAAGGGCGAGCATGTTCGGTGACGGGGATTCGAACCCGTGACCCTCAGATTGCGAGTCAAGTGTTCTAACCACTAGGCCATGCAGAAACATGTACTGCAACTATGTGAGTTTTATCCCCATTGCAAGTTGTTTCTGTTAAAGTTAAAGAAAGCTACAATGAAAGCAAAGAAGGAAGACAATAAGAATTTTATATAAATGTGTAAGTAAATCCTTTTTTTTATATAATGAGAACAAAAGTTCTTTCACTGATGTTTCATATGCTAATGCTCGGGCTTTCTAAATTAAGACATTTTATACATAGCTTTTGTAAAAATTTAGAAAAATGATAGTTTAGCTATTTACAATATCTACTCTGTAACTTCCGTTAGGAGATCAAATCCCAACAGCTCTCGGTTTTCTCATTTTCTTTATTTTTCAGAAAAAAAAAATCAAAATTTAAAAGACAGTGTGACATCCTTAAAATTTCTAAGTATAAAAAAATAGTGGCTCATTATATTTTCGTATATTTTCTGTTTTTGATGAAATATCCAAATTATTTGATTTAATAAAATAACCCCAATAACCAAAATAAAAAAATCATCAATAATATTTTAGCGTTAATAAGTATTAGTAAGAAACAGGAGAAAATCTCAAATTGGCGAATTAATATAACTTCAAGATGACTAAAATTATCTTTTAACTAAACAACGAATAAAAAGCATGAAAGAGAGGGAGAGTTGAAATGCTATATTATAATAAATATTGATTCCTTAAAGGTTTGAAACAGTTTCGACATACGATAATTGTATGCATTAATGCCTAGTGTTTCAAACTTTAGATTCACCATGACACAGTCGCAATGCTTCTCAGCAAATGCTATTGATAATTAAACAACTCGCACCTCAAGATATGTAAGCAATAATACTACCCTACAACCAGCAAGTAAGCTCAGCCTAGTGTACGCGTTTAACACCAGGTGAGCAAAGAATGACAGCATAAACGAGTAGAAAGATCTCAATGAGTGTATTGTTAAATAACGTAAAAGTTCAACGTTGAGTGAAAAATAATTTTCTTTGTTATAAAATTGTGGGAAGTTCATATGGCTGAGATAAATGGTAAAAACACAGTTGTGAAATTCCCGGTTACTATCATTGAAACCGTAAGTCCTTTACTTTAAGAATTAATTAATATTAATAATGAATGAAAGTGATTTTTAACATACTATTACTATGGTGCCATTGCACAATCAGGGGACACTTATTCTGAGTAAGATTTTATTTAATTTGCTTCTAACAGTCTGTAATCTGTATGTCTAAAACATGGGATTTACATCCCAATAAAGCTGAGAAAAATTTGAATCACCTCATACTTTATTGGCACAATACGGATTTTCAAGTGCAAATGTGTAAGATTAATAGTACAATAATGTTATCACCGTACACGAAACAAAAGGTTCCGTTTTCCATTTCTTCTGACAACGTAGACAGGCACATTCATCGCTGTTCAACAATTTTTATTCAATAGATTGGATTGACTGTAACATCACGCATCAAGAAATCAAAAGTTGTTGATATATGATGTCTTTCTTCATTTTCAGTAAGCGCTTCAAGGATTTATTTCTCTCTTCACCAAATTCTACAAATAAACTCGTTACACTTGTAATACGTCGTACCAAAACGATTATAATAAGTAGATATTGTTATGTCTCCGTTTGTTAATTAACTTTCCGTAACTTCGTTCCGACGAAACTTTAGCGACACAAGTCCTTACTTAATAAAACTGGTTTATTCTTTCCGAATATAACTTTACGATACACTTAATTTCAACAATCGCGCTAAAACAAACGCTATAACAACAAACGTGTTCAATAATACTCTCTGACTGCAGATCAATTACTCACTGTCTACACACACATTATTCTATTCTCTCGTCACGTTGTCACCCTCTTATATATATATATATATATATACCAGACTACCCTATATCTAGTAATCTCCCGACAATTCCCGAAGGTTCGAGAGAACGAGTCACTTGACCTCGCTGACGCAACACTGCCCCCTCCTTAGTATTGTTCGTCCCGAACAATAGCCACATACAATAAACCAATAACAATTAACAATAACTTAATTAAATGCACAGAATTACAATCACAAAATTACAATTCAACAAAGTCTCTTAATTTTACGGGACGTATCTTCTTCCGTACTGGTCTCCGTCTCGTTGGCTTCTGCTTCATGTGTGGTTCATCTGCTTCATCAGTAAATGTCCTATCAGCGGTAACAGTCAAATCAGTGGTAGTAACTTCATCAAGAGCTTCACCGTTTCCCTTCTCAAAACTAAGTAGAGTTTCTTCTTCGACGGTGGCTTCTTCATGTGGCACGTCTTCAGCAGCGTCATTTGTTCTGTTGTCCACTTCATCTGAACTGAAATGTCCTGGACCGTGATAACTCCAAAGCCTGTTGGCATGCACCACTTTTGGCTTATCTCGCCGACCACATTTTATCTGGAAAGTCACGTCTGAGAGACGGTCCACTATGTCATATGGGCCTTCCCATGGAGAAAACAACTTAGGAGACTTCCCTTTGGTCTTCCTGGGATTATACAACCATACCTTGTCTCCTGATACGAAGCTGACTTCAGTATA